GTCCTGGCGGCAAGAAAAGAAAGCCACACACACCTCTTCAAGACTTTCATGGAATTTAATGGCCATTTAGAGTAATATGAATACCACAGTTGAAATATTAATGAAGAAACAAACTGAAGCAATCAAATACAATGTATAAATTTATTCATTTACATCAAGATTCTTCTGATAAGAGGTTAAAAACGATGAGTGCGAAGCATGGACAGTAAACTATAAAATCACTGAATATTCTTTCACTAACAAGAACACAAAGCTAGAAAATCTGTCAATAAAGACAAGAAAAACAGAGGACATGAGAATAATAAACTCAGACTTCTCATTCCCTTATTCTTTAGGTTTATTACAAAAATAGTCGCCATGTGAAGGTGTTCATATAAAAATTCGCAAAGTATAAATTTTACAGAAAACCGTGATATTTTATGGGTCATTCAGTTTCAATATCTTTAATTTTATTAAGAATACATGTGGATTCCTGCTGACTGTTTGAGTTCAAGGGATGCCGCCGATCATAAAATGATTAAGAACCCTTGACATCGAACCAGGTATACATCTGAGTAAAACACCGATACTTGCATACTGCAAGCCAAAACCGTTTACGGACGCAGAGAATTGGCCAAAGGGCAGCCGACTGAATGAAATCTCATTACAGGAATCACTACTTCTGCTGCCATTCTGAGACAATGCATCAAGCCTCAAAAAGAAAGTTCGCTGCAGTGAAGGACCCCGTCGCATTAGCGGGTTAATGGTTTAATTCCATTAAGAAATATGAAGTTATCCCGTAAATATGTATATAATAAGTTTGCAACCGGACACACGCTTGCTAAACGAGCTTTCGAATCTCTCGTTTCGGTCAAAACCTGGTTGAGGTTAAAACCGAAGATTGGAATATCGAAAAGAGCTGAAGCAAAGAACATAAACAAGATAAATTAAAACTTTTAATTTCAAAAAATAATCATGATAAAGGAGACAGCAACAGCATATGTTAAATTTTCGTCGCCTCGTTGCGCATTAGTAGTTCAACGCGTCACATACGTCTATGACAGACGGACGACATCGAACTTCAATACGAAAATTCATGACGAGTCGACAGGCCAAATAAATGCTACTTTTATCACAAACCAGTCGATAACAAATTACAAACAATCATTTTGACACATACATAGAAAGGTAGCACAATTTTAATGCGAAATCAACGGCGAAGCAGAATAAGCACAAAACAGCGCGTTGTTATAAACGGTGAACAAATGACGAGAAGTGAAGAAACGTATCATCGACAAAGGTAGTGACAGCTGTAACTGTTTAACCGCGGTAGACGGCAGCCGCAGAATCGATCACTTTCTTCTACTCTACTTCTTCGATGATGGGACCACTTCGAGGTCGCTTGCTTGAAGAAGAATCTGTCGAACCTCTTGTATCAGCGCGACGTGAATATGGAGAGTTATGTCGATTGCGACGGCTGCTAAAATAAACTCTATCTACTATCCACATGATCGGATATTCACCACCCAGCACATGCACCAAATGACCACTGACGCACCAAAAAAGAATATGGAAGATACAGAGAAGAGGCGATAGGCGGTATGAGCGACTAATTCAGGTACAGAAGAAGCGCTGGATTCGACCGAGCAGTGTCTTTTTCTCGCCCTTGGTGTTCGTATTGCTGTTTTCATGCTTATGCATGGCACCGCCTACTTTACGATCGCGATTAGGCGAACTATTATGGACAAGATTTTCGTCATAATTATCAGGCAACTCTTCAATCACAACACCACCTTGCCCACTTACGTCAGAGTCGCTGGGACCGTTCTGACGATATCTATAAGCATAACTTAAGAATCGAACACAAGTTGTATATCGAGTGAAGACGAAAGCCGTAACTGAGAGCACCCGCTTTCGCAAAAACCAATGCTATAACTGCTCTAAGTCGCTCACATTTACTTACCTTCAGCCCGTACACGATTTTATCAAATTAAAACAACCAGAATACATGAAGCATGCACCAATTCAAACATCAAACTATAACTGATTTTCAAGTACGAACAACGAACCGTAAGTTTTTAAATTCTCTTCGTTTAGCCTATAGAGAAATTTTTGCAGGATTGCCTCTGACGAAAGGCGGAATGTATCAAACGCATCATCGGCATGATATCATGCGCTAACGGCCTTTAAGCATACGGCTTCCAATGAAGTAATGCGGACTGAAACGCGAAAATATAAGTCACCACAAAAATCACCACTGTCATACTTCAACCATGGTACTGCATCAACAATCATATGCTGATGCTGTCCCGACTGATTCAGTAATCATTATCACTTACAAAAAGGTGAGTGGGGCGCGTTCACTAATCAGTGTCCACGCAAGACAAGGTAGACGAGGATGCTTTGTCCATAAGTGGAATATGAAGTTAATCACTTTTTTGTGAAACGCAGGTAATGCAATACATCACGGATGACTGCTGCGTCTCATTCAATGCGGTGGAACAAAGGCAGTTTACTTAGCCACCCACGACACAGTAGAGTTGCTACATGAACTACACGTGGAATTATAGAAACATTCGCCCGCTGCAGTGCCACACGAAACAACTCATATTTTATAATACCTTTACGCCACAGACTTGTAGGAAACAAGACAAAGCCAATAAATCTAATGATGAGATACTTTAGCATGAACATGATAACTGTATAAACTATTTTCAGTTATTTTTACCTCATTTTCCTTCATCTTTCCACTTTACTCCTGCCTTCCTTTATATTTGTTCCCTTCATCTTTCGAACGATTAGCCCCCCGGTTAAGTAACTGTTACTTCTCCCCAATTTCACCCTTAATCATGCCTTTCATCCATCTTTTTTAATGGTAAATTTTTCCTTCTGTGTGGGTTGAATCCTTTCATATGCCTATAATTTTTCTTTCGTCCCTTATCTCCCCCCCGTCACTATAACCCTCTTTTCGTCATATCGCTTATTTTCGATTTATTCTAATTTTTTCTAAACCTTTATCTCACCACTGCTTATTTCCATCCTCTCAATACATGCTTCAAAACTTAACTTCAGTGAAAATTTCGCTCTCTAACCCGGCTCCCCGCATCTTTTCTTGCATTCATTTCTTTCATCCTTTTATAGTTGCCACCGTTGCCTCGTTTGTCGCTCTTAAATACCTTTATTCTCTCCTACAATATCAACTGCTTTATGACATTCTGGGTTTATTACATTGTTCTAGCCTTTTAGTTGTTTTAAAATTCTATTTCGTACCTCGTCCTGTCCTTTATTCTCTCATTCATGAAGTTCTTAACAGGAACAGTTACCTACAATCTTGGCCCTCCCTCTATGCTACTGCTTTCCCTTATCTTCATTTTATACCAAAAGGTTATCAAAGCATAGTTATCCCTTAATTATGTTCTTTCCCTCTGCCATTTTATCGTGCTCTACAATTCTTCTGCAAATCTTTTTTAAATGATGAAAAGGATTATGTAGTAGCAAGTTGTCTCTAAAACTTGTACATGCAAATCTTGCAAAAGTAGTTTGTTTCAGCAGAACACTACGCCCAGAGCAAATCCGGTCAATGATGAACATAAAAATAAAATAAGGAACGTAAAATATGGAAGCATCATACGGCGACATTGTATGTCCTACGCATTACAAACATGACAGAAATATCATTACCTTCGTGGTCCGTTTTCAATCGACAAAGGCGCCCTGGACGCCTGTTCTAACATGCTACGATTATTTCGCGCAGTTCGACCGGTCTTGAGAGCGAATTCATTATCAAATTCTTCAACTTCATCTAAATGTTCGGGTATTCAGAAACGGTATTACGTACACCCGCTTTTTCGAATGAATCATCGAAAAATCACATCATAAACAGTGTGATAAAGCAACAGGCTTTGAATAATAATAAATTAACAAAAACAGTTATAAATCTGAAGAAAATATATTTTCTTTTCACGGTGTTCCCTCTTCAGCACAGAATGTTAACGAAAGGCTGCCGCAGTGAATTCTAAAAGCTTTACTCGCTAAATATATTTTGCTTCTTAATGTTAATCTGTTATCACAGTACATTCTGTAGATGGATGAACGACGACAATGTACATAACGACGGTGGTGATCGCCAATCGCCAGAACCGCGGACAAATGAATAACCTTACGCGGGATATCGCAACATCATTCTTAGTCAATTATGAATAATGGCTGACGCTAAAATTTTAACGCAAACGAGCTTTCCTGACACACCGACATAATTAGCAGAACTATGGTAGCGAAACGTGGTCGCAACAAAAGCCTTAATATTTGATCTACGTTGTGCGTTCAATTAAGGCTCGACATCCTAGCTAGACTTGCAACTGTGAATTTGCTCAGTAGGGAGAGTCGGTAGGCTAAGAACCGATTGGTTCCAGGTTCGAGAACCGATCAGGTTACTCACCTTCCGTCATTCCAAGGTCGATAAGTACCATCTTATGAAAGGAAACAGGAGACTGCACACAGTGCTTGCTATATGGCTGCTGTCGACTCTGTCTTTAAATAATACACTAGTGTCTGTGGTACGGAAATGGAAATCAGCGCCATTTCATTAACTTTATGAAAAGGGCGCCAGAAATGGCCCATCATGAAATGGTCAGGATAGGGACATTCCAACAGTCACGAACCTTTCTTAACTTCCTTTTGCAGTTTTGGGCCTAGAATCTAAAGCGTCAAATGCAACACCGTGCGGTTGACTTGGTCATCACTCAATTTCTATTCTGAATTTACGAAATCATACTTAGCTCAGATTAACACAGTGAGGCGATTTTGCGCCCGTCAGTGCTGGTTCTACAATACTATGGAGCCGTTACCAGCTGAAAAATCCCTTATGTCTCTAAAACCGAGAAAACTGTGTGAGTGCGCAGTACAGCTCAGAGGTGACACCTACTTTTACCTGTTGGATAGAAGCTAATTTCTGCTAGTAAATTAAGAATATCAAATACAATAGTAATTATTTGCGATTATATTACAGCTGAAAAAATAGTAAAAACACGATATGCAGCTTACTTGGCTTTCATGCTTGCATAAATATCAAATAATTTCTGCTAAATGCGAACAGATTTTCTCTTCAATTGGGTTCAGCAAGAATACTCATATCAGCTATATGGGAGAAGAGAAAATCACTGCTATGAAAAGTCGCTCACCTTTTCATAGCTATTCCCATTCAAAACTGAAATGGCAGAAAATTCTCCCTACATGGGTAAACGCTGTACAACCTTAAACTAAAGCAGACCTTGTTAGAAAGGAAAGAGAAGCAAATTGCAACAGATAGAATGTAGGTCTCTAATACACTTCTTACATGACCAGTGCTTGGCGAGACATCGTGCGTTCACCAATAATTCCTCAGACCAGAGCACTCAGTCAGTAAAACGCAGGACTATGAATCGAAAGAATCCGAGTTCGAGTTTCAGTCGGTAGCGCGCTTTTCATCTTTCCAACAGATAAATCAGTACCATTTGATGGGAGAGAAACAGGAGACAACACATTATAATGGTCACGAAGCTCTAGAAATGGATCCTGAGAAGCAGCAAGGAAATGTTAACTAATGGTAGATCAATCAATGAAAATTTACATCGTACAACAAACATCACGAAGGAATAGTGCAGAAATGACGCTCCATCACAGAAAGGTAACGCGGACAGAGAAACAACGGTTACTGGCTTTCTCTTCTTTTCCTTTTATGATGTACATAGTGCGGCAGTGATATACACCGCATTAAAATTGCGTAACGACAAATATTGGTAAGTGAGCCCATTTGTCACTATTCAAATAAAACTATATACAAAATATAAAAATCATTTCAGTCATCACAAATACAATTAATGACCATATACAGAAAAGCAAATTAATACATACAACGTTCACAATTCCTTGTTACGTGCTATATCTAACGCCAAAACTAAACTTAAAGTAAACTTCTCAACATCACTTCAGCATGATCTGCACATAGTCACAAGTCATATTCAGGTAAATTGTAACAGAATTGAATATGTTACCTACATAGTGATAATTCGCCGATACCGGTATGGACATTATACATATATATATATTTTAGTTTTGACCATGGGTCCTAAGAATGTGAGTGTCAAGATCAGTGCTGAAAAGAAGAAAGGGATGATGTCCTATGATAAAAAGCACGAAATCATCGACAAACACGAGCGAGATGTGTGTGTTGTCGACTTGGCATGGCAGTACGCTCGTAGTACTTCTATGATATGTACGGGAGTCGATAAAGGCTAAAAATTGTAGCATTAAGGGTGTAGCGAGTAAGTTAAGCGATAGAATACGATATGAAAAACTTTCCCAACCTCTTCCACCTTCACCAGCATCTTCTAGTAATCTTGAAGGTAAATATACTTAATAAATCCAGTTTATTTCTTTAAATTCTCTTTTATTATGTAATATTTTTTAGACATTTATCTTTCTTATTTAAAAACACGTAACAAAAAATGGCAGTTTTCTGAAACTGGAACGGATTAACAGTATTTCAATTAATTTTAATGGGGAAATTTGAGTCATGAGCTCGGCTAAAGAACAAGTTAAACTCAAGGTAAACTACATGGATATTATAGAGCGTAGCTCTATTCTACTTATTTCCGATGCTGAAATGGTATATTTTCGTCTAACTCCGATGGAGAAAGGACGACATCCTGGCCGGTATTCCAGGTATAGCCTTTTGGCTGTAAATTTTACGTTCTACCGAGAGCGCTGGCCTTTTCGAAGGATACGCTCACTGTCGACAGTAACAAAGGTTCTAAACGTACTTTGATTCAAGCCAACAAAATCCTGGTTTTCAATAATGCGTCCACTTTCGTCTCGTTCTTTCTCGATGATGTGTGATTTGCCACCCATGTGATGCCCGATCGCCATTTTTTCGATGCCTAAATGCAAATAGCATTTTTAGAATAAATGAAACATAAATGCGGGAGGCGATGGATGAAAGGATGGATCACCTCTTTCGCTGTCTCTCACTGAGTCACGAGTCTCAGCGATGTCGCCAGCCTTTCGGATACTCTTGGTTTTCTCATAGTACTTCGGCCGGCCGTCGGGACCCTGCTGAAAGCTGACGACGCTGCTGTGGCTGTAGACATGTGCATTTGGGTTCTGCAACGCGTTTTCACGAAGACCTTCCATTTGCTGCATCATCGAACTGATGCCTCCAAACAAACCGCCGCCGAACGGCATCATGAAATCGTCCATAGCTGAACGAGGCATAAGCTGATTGTGCTGTGGCATTCGGTTGGGCACTACTCTAAAACACAAGAAGAATAACGTAAAGACTACCATGATTACATCAGTTATTACATTAACTGATCATCAAGGTGGTGTAGCCAAAGGGCGATTAAACATTTCACAAACGAAATTTGTAATACGCTACTTATTTAACACTCTTCAGGAAAGAAAAAAGAAAAGTTGTAACCACTGGAATATCGGCCTTCTTTCACTTTAATTACCGGGCAATTTTGATGCCCTTTTTTCCTAAAGCTGACGGTGCGGTACTCGTCTCCATTTCCATGCCGTCAGCCAGAAGTGCCTCATTTTATAGGCAGACTCTGTAACAGCCATGTGGCAAGTTTCAGTGTGGTCTTGCATTTCCTTCGCAAAAAGTGGTATTCATTTATTAACCTGAGAAGAAAGAAGGGCAAGTGACCTAACCGCAGCTGAATTCTGGATATCTCGGAACTTCGAACCTCTTCCGAATGAGCAACCCCTGTATGAAGCAATGCGATAAATTCTTTACTCACGGAATTCGTCGTTAAGTCAAAAGTTTACCTCCGAAGCACTGAACATTGCATCTTCTTAGGCAGTAGGCCACCACGTCATCAGCGCTTCGAAAAACACTCCGTCCTGACTTAATCACAACTTAAAAGTTAGAAAAGGGGAAGCTACAGCACTGAACCGTACGTCTGCTAAAGGATGCTTTCAAGGAAGCGAGATGAACTTATGAGTTTTCGAAGACAAATCATTGAAGCAACAACCTTGCATTTTACCTTCATATTCACCCTATACCGTTTGCATAACTGCTAATTACCTGCCGCATTCCCGGGTTGTGGACAGAGGAACGACCTCCAGATATGGCCTTAACATGAGATGAAAGCGACCTGCCAGTCTGAAGAAAAATGGTCGCCACATCACGCCAGTGCCACATCTACCTTGAGCACTGATGTCAGTTCATGAAGGGCTAGAAGAGGCAGCTTCGATTTTTAAAACCGGAAGGAAATGGTGTATTCGTCTGTGCAACATTTTCCAGGCCACCACCAGCTCTGCCAGCCGGTGGCACACTATAATGCGTTATGACAAGACAAATTGTGGCAACCGGAACGATTCGTCACCGAATAACTTTAAGTGATATATCCCTAGGCTAGGTCAGAGTTAGTCATACATTACAATTCTGGGCTACTAAGTTGTTCATGATCTGTTAGCCATCCCTAGACCATAATAACAAACACAAGGGACCCACATGATGCAGTTGCCCCTGGTCTGAACACCGATCCTTGATTGTAACACGGTTGGTAACTTCGATGTTTAAACAATGTGATAAACGTTACTGCCATTAGCCAAGTAGCATTACTCAAAGACGGCTTTATTTTGAAATAAGACTAAAATAAAAACTCAAACAGTGGTGAGAAAATTATTTATTCTTAGAAAACAGTCAAGGCGACGGTTTCCTG